TAGGTGTAAAAGCATCTCTTCACATAGCCTTTGGTGATGCTAATCACCCCAGGCCACCTCCTGCCTTATCCAACAATGACGTAAAACCCCCTCAAACCCGTTTCTACTGGGTGTCGTTGCCGATCTGGACCTTCTCGCATTGAAGTCACCTGTTCCCAATTGAAAAGAAAAACAGAGTTAACAATTGTCATGCACATGTATTTGAGAAAAAATGTGCATCATAGTGAAATAATTGCTTCCATTCAAACTGTGTGTGATTCTTAAACCTGGTTGTGTGACTCTGAGATGAAATTCATCCTATGGATGGATTTTATGGCTCCAACACTTCCCCAAGATTCCTGCTCTTATCAGTTGTTGTTGTTGTTTTAGGGAGTCCTGCTCACTCCCTCCTCGACGAGGAGTCGCCATCACCTTTCAACCCCTGAAATCTAGCCTCTCAGACTCGTCCCCAATTCACTCCCAACTCAGCATCAGCTTATTGTTTCTTTTACAGGGAGCTAAACAAAGTCATCCTTTGTCCTGACTCCTAATTGATGGAAGGAGTAATGCCTATAGAGCTAACACATACCTACTTGCTATACCTGAAGTAATTAGCACCTGGATGACACTCATAAATGTTGCTTTCTTGAAAGGAAAAATCTCTTCTTTGTTCTTGCTGTTCTGGTTCAGTTCCCTCTTATTCAAATTCACTTACTGCAAGTCGCTTTGGATTATAGCCTCAGCTGAATGAAAAATGTAATGCATTGACGTAAAGAATGCCTCTGCATATATTTATCTGCCTCTAGAGTATTTATCCATTGCTTTGAAAAATTGCCTTTCTCAAACGGCCTTGTTTTCAACCAATTTGAGGAGCCATTTATTTATAAAAATTGAAATCTCCGACGTGACTGATTATTGACCCCCCATAGTCAACTCAGGAACAATTAACACATATTGCCTTAGTGCCCCGTTCAATGTTCTCATTTTTGCTTGTAGGTCTCATCCTCACGGTGTTGTATGACGGTTCCATGTCTTCATTAACTAATTGACCAACCAAGTTCTCTTTGTTCATTCTAATGTTAAAGTAATAGGTCTGCTCACACCAGGATTACACAAAAATATTACCTCACATTCTCACTCTTACCGTCAATTCCTTCTCCTTTTACCTCAATTTTTACCTTTGAACCTCAATTCCGGTGATATAAATAAAAGGTTCTCCAAACACTTGGGTCATAAAACAACAATAAATAGCAGCACTCAACAATGTACAGCCTATCTTTAGGAGGAGACTAAACAAAACTACAAACATTAATACAAAAAACTGACACTATATACAACAATTCTCCTTATTTCTTATCACCTTCACTCCTCATTTAAATCTTTCACAACCATGTCTCTTAATTTTCAATGACTGTTTCCGCTCTTTTTTTTAAATGTTGTACTGTTTTAAATCTAGTTTCAGCTGACACTTGTTGTGGCTATATTGTATGTCCCTAATTATTGTCATTGCAGATTGTTTGGCTCTACAAATGGAGACGTTTCCACGGTAGTAGGGAGTTGACCGCATGCATAGATACATGCATGTATCTATGTATGGACATACCCAGTTGAAGTGGCCGTGGCCTCTCAGGATTACCCAGGATAAAGGAACCAGTGACGCGTCGCGCGGCAGCGAACAAATAGACTCCATAAGGCCTTTGTTCCTGAGAGGCCTTTTCCCCGCCCTTATTAGAATTGAAAGTTAATAGGCAATAAATTGATTTCATGCAAACAAGAAACTCTTCTCATTGGAATCTTTCCTTATAGTTAACAACACTCACAGCAGTCTATAATCTCTAGTCTCCCTTCTTCTACCTGGAATGTGAGTCGTAAACTGGGGAGGCTGGATGCTTATATGAGCTGTTCTTTGGAGCTCATCTGCTTATAGTTCAAGTGTAATTACATTCTAGCGTAAGCGTGCATGTTTATATTTTAATACTCAACAGTGACCAGCGACCTCCACCTCAGCGCAGAGGAAGAGGACGTGGAAACAATAAGGGAAGAGGAGATGAATGCTACTTATGCGGACAGAAGGGTCATTGGTCTAGAATATGTCCAGCAAACATGCAGTTTAGTGCAGCTCCTCCACGGTCTTCCCGTCCAACCCAGCCCCGGCAGAACCAGAGGGTCCACCTCACCTCCACCCCCTAATGCCTTTTTCATGTTATTGTTAAACTGCCTGAAATAGGTCGGTACACATTAAACTGACGGACAGAATACTCTTGTTGCAAATAAACTGTCATATTTCTTTGATTGCGCTTAATACACAACGTGCTTGAGTTATATAGTCTCTAAGAGCATTTTTGATTGGTTATTAAGATGGAGGCGGCTCCTGGAACCCTCGGAGAGCCCCATCGGAGCACAGGGAAGTCCGTCCCTCGAGGCTCTTGGATCATCATACCTCCCGTTGTTCATGAGTTCTACATATCAAGATGTTTGCAAGATGCTCTGCAAGATGATTTGCATATGAGTCCTTGGCGCAGTTCTAGGTATGGATATGTTATTCTTAAAATGGGGAACAGGTGGTTCCCGTTTCCCAAACTGTATTTGACCCAGCTAGTGCATGCATCTTTAGCAACCTGTTCGTGTGCTTCTGTTGTGACTTGAAATACTATAAATAAATAATGTTGTTCGTGCAATCCGGCCTTTAAGCGGCCTTCACCCATTATTACTATGCATTTATAGTTCAAGTGTAATTTCATTCAAGCGTAAGCGTGCATGTTTATATTTTTATAGTCAACAATGCCTTGGAAATACTTTTACTTTTGAAGGAGTACAGCCACAGCCCCAGCTCCCACAGCACTGGCATCAACTTCTGTGGTAGTACCCAGCCATCCCAAGAAACCGTTGCAACTCCCGCCTGGTGGTTGGCACAGGAAATGCAGCAGTTGCTGTGATCTTTGCATCCTCAGGACACACCTGGCCTCAACCAACCTACTGACCAAGATACAAAGAGAACCTCTTCCAAATTCACATTTAGAGAGGTTGAGAGTTAGTGATGCACCAACTAGACATTTGAAAACATCCCTCAAGGTAGCCATGTGAGAATTCCAATCATCAGAGTATAAAACGATGTCATCCAAATATGCCTTACAGTGTGGAGCATCTCGCAAAACCTTGTTTACCAGTCTGTGAAAGGTAGTAGGCACATTGCAGAGTCCAAAGGGTATTACTGTATACTGAAGAAAACTGTCTGGTGTGACAAAAGCTGAGATCTCCGAGGCACGTGGTGTTAACGGGAATATAGTCTGCATGGTGGTTTGGAGCCTTCTTCACCAGGATAGAATGTCTATCAGGATGACGTCCTCCAATAGCACCATCTCCTTCTTTGCCATTGTTTGGATGGGTTCTCTGCACGTGTAGTTTAATAGAGTCCTGATGTGATATCATAAAATCAGGAAACATTTATATGTCAGACATACAAGGAATTTGACTTGGCAGTTGGCGCGTAACAGCAGACAGTACGACAATGGACAACAAGACAACAGTGCACGAGAAATAAAATAAAATACAATGCTATGTTAGTAGTATAAGGCTATGGGTTAGTTTAAAAAAAAAGGAATACAAGATAAAGTCACAAATATTTAAAAATTTAAATATAAAGTGCACCAGGGAACAGAAAGTGAAAGTGACGTGTGCAGTGAGAAAGAAAGTGACCGGTGCAATGACAGAGTCCGTCAGTGGGGGACCGGGCTCTCTTGATGAGCCCCACTGCCGACGGGAAGAACTGTTCGTGTAGCAGGAGGTCTTCGTCCTGATGGGCACAAACAGTTTTTGTCCGGGGTCAGGGGGGTCGGCTACAATCATTTTAGCTCGCTTCAGGGTCCTAGATACAGCTTTTCTGTGCCCCCCTGGTATTCACTTTTTTTTCCCGGCCATGTTCACAGCTACCTGCTTCATCTTCTCTGGCCTCCATCTAATCCTCCACCCGCTCTCTATCCCTGCCCAGCAGTTTCTGAGTTGTAGGCGTAAACATCATGCAACCTGGTGTATTTTAAACACCCTCTAAGCTGTCCCTTTTCTCCTTGTGCTACTCTGTCATTCACTGTGAGGAGACAGTAAATAATGTTAAGTCTGACAAATGAAACCTACTATAATGTTACCACAAATTGCCATCTGAAATCAGCCATGCAAGGTAAGCTCCTGGATCTGAAAGGGAAACAGTCAACAAAAACACCAAGTCAAAGAAATAACTACAATACAGATAAAATTAAACAGCAAAAATCAAACTAGTTATGGCTTGAGTAAAAATGAAAATCCAACTTCAATTTTAAGAGTCGGAAACTGGTTAAGATAAGATTAAACTTATACAATTATGGTGTAAAAGCCGAATTAAGAAAGCATAAGTCTAAGCCACAAGCAATGATAATCGATCAGGAATTGAATCCTCTGTTGTCGCTACAATCTCGCAGACCAGTTTTAACAACTTTCTAACGCTCATAGTGTGTACCTGAACGCACCAAATACGATGATTTGGAATTTCTAAAAGCCGGTTCCCATTCGCATTCACTTTGCAAAAGTATGCCTTCATTGTTATGCAATATCATCTTATTACATTCATCCAAAGTCATTAATGCGCTAGCCTTTAACCTTTAGCTTCTAAGCCCTTGCTTCATGGCCGACTGCCAGCACCACTCTCTCTCTTTCTCTGCTTTTCCTAAATGAGAATCAAATTGGATTTACAATTTGGTACAGTTCATAATGTGTTTAACTCAACTCTGGACTGCTTTCTAAGTTCACATGACTGTATAGTACATGTTTATTCAACTTAGCAACGTATATTTCAAATAAACTTAACATGCATTGTGTTCACTTGTCCAAAGTAGTACTTTCAACTTAGCAACACAAGTATAAACGAACTTATTATCATGCTTTGTGTTAACTACGTCTAATTTTTAGTTAAAATTACTTTCCTAGTTAATTTAACTTAAAAGTATGCATTGTTTTAAATGGCAATTTATAGGCATGAGAAACACCATGAGTTGTTGCAAAAATAATTTATTTCTCAGATTAAAATAAATAGTTTTTATATTATTAACATGCAGATATCTAACAACTTTTATACTGTATTTAAACAAAAATATTTAGTGGAGTTAAACAGAATATTCACAAAATGTTCAGACAGAAAAACCTTACATGTAAATGTAAAATGGTCTTCAATAATGAGCAACCTCATACATCTTTCTTGAGGCAGTTCAAAATGTCTTTAGTGTCTGCAGCTTTGTAGACGTCTGGCACCCTTGGGACCAGGTCATCAACGACTGCGTCCAGCTGGCCTCGTAACTGCTTCAGATCGGACCAGAGAGTAGAAACAGTCCGCCGTTCTCACATCAACGCACATGAATGTTGCTGTCCGCTTGCCTAGATAAGAGAACGTGTTTTCAGCAGGGACCACGCATTTGATGGTGGAGAAACACGGATAAGACGGCTAATCTTACATTATCCTTGACAGCGGTGCGGAGGTCAATGACCTCGGTGGACCCGCTTCCAGCCAGGCGCCCTGCAGCAGGTGTGCAACTGGCCTCAATCGCCAACCATCAAGTGATCTCTTTGAGGGTTACACTTTTACCGCAGCCGGTCTTCCCCGCAGGTACATCCGGGTCGCTCCAAAGTCACGGTTAGTCTTGTTCTCAGCCACCTGCACACAGAGAGCGGAAAAGGACAGACGGGTTTTCAAAAAGCGCCAGTTTCATCTGGAATGTTTGGAGCTTATACCCAGGCCCGTCGCGACAGGACAGGCAAACCAAGCAATTGCTTGGGGCCCCGAGCTGGCCAAGGGCCCCAAGACAACGACTGGTTAAGAGTCAAATGCAACGACAAACTGTGTGAGCGCCCCTTTGATAGTCAATGCAGTAAAGTGCAATGACACCGTTATCGGGATCCCCCCTCAAGGGGCCCCTCACTGCCGGGCTGACAGGGAGGCGGGGGGGGGGGGGGGGGATGCTACCCGCGCACACTGGTCGGATGCGTCACAAGAACCGGGAGTTTTTCGCGCGTCATTGATTTAGGAGGCTGTGATTGGAAATCGGAACTGGAGCTGTCACGGTCGGGACAAATCAAAAATGCCCATAATTCGGGATGTCCCGCGTAATACGGGACAGTTGGCAACCCTAGCCCGGCATCATGAAGCGGAGTTACGCTTCTGGAAGCAAAAAAATAAAGAATAAAAAGGAAGAGGAGGATAAAAAACAAGATAGAAGGGTGTTTATGACCTTTATGACTTTCTATTCTCAAAGGACAACATGAAGCAGACAATAAAGAATGGAAAGCTTCATGAACGATGCAAAAAATTAGAACAAACTCTCCATGACATTGATGCTGATGACTTGGCACTTGAGATCAATTCATCTCTCTACACTTTTCCAGACCACGTAGCCACTTCCCCATTTGACATGCTTAATTACATATACAGTGAGAAGCTACTGGATTTGTACAGTAATTTAAGCATTCCTTTGCGTCTACTCCTGACTCTCCCTGTGTCTGTGGCCTCTGGTGAGAGGAGCTTTTCAGCTATGAAGCTGATAAAAAATTACATGAGGTCCACCATGGGCCAAGAAAGACTCACAGGACTGGCACTTCAATTGAGCGCGATGTTCGGCAGTCTTTGAACATGGAGGACATTGTGATTGCCTTTGCACAAAACAAGGCTGGCAAACAGCAGTTTTAGATAATTTGCACATGTTTGTGAGAACTGAAAAATGTTAATGTGAGTGTATATGTGTGTGTGTGTGTTTTTAAGTATGTTGGATTTAGTTATTGTGCACTTTTTTAATGTATATTTGATTTTATGGTAGTGTGCAAATGTTAAATTGTTAAATGTTCAAATTTCATGCACATTATGTTTATGCACTGTAAACCCTTTTTTATTTATATGAAGTGTGGGTGAACTTAAAGTTTATGGCTGTGCTGTGGTTCCTGTAGGTTTTGCGCGGCGGGAGCTTGGGGGGGCCTCCGTGTCCATTTTGCTTGGGGCCCACAAATTCCTTCAAACGGCCCTGCTACCTACCGACACAACGACTAGTGGCGGGGATGGTGCAACACAAGTAGCCGTAAAAGGCGTCCCCCCGATAGGGCGCATGGAGCGGGAGGAGATCCCCTAAGAGAGAGATTGTACAGATGAGGCAAAACACGGCCATTGTCCGTGTGCGCGCGCACCAGCGGACAGAGAGCGCGCGTCCGCCCGAAACAACTGCAGACATTTTAGCCACAACGTCCATCATTAATTAAAGGTTACATGAACGTTGGCTTGATTAAATTATATTTTTCTAAATGTCCTCTGAAACATGAATAATGATAGGACTTTATGTGCTATTGTTCAACAACCGCTCTATCGGTTGGTTATCGGGATTTACGGAGTAAATGCGCGTAAATCCCTCGCAGTTTGCGAGCTGGTACAGTCTGATTATACATAACTTCAAGCCTCAATATAACATAAATTATTAAAAAGTTACACAATACACAGTTAAACAATAAACCTGTTTTGTAGTAGCAGAATGTATGCATTTGTATTTCTGTGTGCTGTAGATTGTGACAATTTAATTGTTGAAATTGGATTTCTAGCATACGCGGGTTCCATTGCGTTGACTCTTACTGTGAAAATCTACGTACTTCCGCTTTAGCGGCTCCGCTTCGTATTTCAGTTTTATGGCCAAAACCCTAAAAGGGATTAACGGAGTAAAAAGTTGTGGGTTTGTCTCGTTTTTAGGTTCTAAACGAAAACGAGGAAAACGACTGTCCACTTCCGTTTTGCCGTTTTGGATTCAAAACGAAAAACGAGGAAAACGAGTGTTTTCGTTTTCTGGTTTTTACGGTAAAAGGGACTATAAAAACGTGCACGGACCGAGGGGGCTTGTCCGTTTTCCTCATTTATCTCTTCTTAAAGTGAAGACGAGACTTTTATTGCACTAATATTAACTTCAGCTAGTGGAGGAAAAGGTTTATTGTCTTAATACATTATCACATTTAAATGAAATAATAAGGGCCTCATTCATAGAAACTATGAAGTGTTATTTAAGCTCCCACGTGAAGACTCCATGTAAAGGATCCGGTCAGAGTGTGAACACAAACAGTATTTATTATTTAGCATTTCTAATTTGTCTTTTTGCACGATTATTAACCACTTTTCCTGTGAATTGGTTTAACATTCTAGTTCATTGAAGTTGGTGAATGCATTTAATGCACTGTACAAATTTAAAAGCAACACAAAAAGATGATTTTGTTGGAGATCCGATGTATCCATCAATGTTTTAAGCTTTGTGTTCTAAATTATAATTTTTACTTTTATAAACTGAATCTATGTATTTATTGTTTAGAAAAAGCACATATGCACGTAGGTCAGTGATTAAAACTTTATTCTTACTCTACATATTATGAACTCAGCTGTCCGTCACATTCAATGTGCTCATTTAGATACTGAGCGTCTTCAGGAGGAAACTGTTGTAATGAAGAGCTGCTGCACAATTCAAAAAAAGAGTTTTATTACTTGTATAATGATACATTTCTCTCATAGAAAAGCAACATCACGTTGGTAGATGTTCGCAGGATATTTTGGATTGACGGATGGCACATAACATAACAACTTCTCCCCCACAAAGGTTTACTCTGGTGAGTTGCAGTTGACAGGAAGCGGACGCCTCAGTGCTCCATCGGCTCATCGGGTACCTCTCCAGCAACGGCAGGTTCGTTGGCGGGCTGGGCGACCTGATGCACAAACCAAAGTTCTGTTTAGTGCACAAACATCCGCGTTTGTCTCTAACCCAAAATATGTCAAATAAATAAAAAGCACCAGTCACTTACAGAAGAAAAGCAACATATAAACAGAGCTCTTGAAGTACCTTTCTCTGTGGCCTCTCTTCCAGCCCCTCCAAGAACGTGGCGACATCATCATCGTCATAAATGACGAACTCCATGTCCTTACCCACAATGCCGATGGAAACATTCTGAAGGATGAGAAGCATGCCATTACATTCACAAGAACATCCGACTAGGGCTGAGCTTTGACTACACGTCACTGAATTGATTGAAGTTAGCAACGACATTGAAAGTACAAAATCCAAAAGCACTTGAAATCATATTTATCTTAGAAACTCAGCTTCACGCTCTTGACATTTTCCCCTCATACCTGTCAGACCAACAGGCCTGATCAGAGGGGGGACAAGTGGAGGGGGGAGGGGAGGCGTACCTTAGTGGTGAGGTCCTGCTCGGCGGGGAGCGTTTCTCTAAGAGCGCGGAGGCCGTGCTGGACCAGGTCGTTCAGATTAGCTGAGAGCAGAACGAGACTTTATTCATTTGTGTACTTCCACTTTCTTAAATCATGTACTTCTTTGCCTGATGTGTTAATATTTCAAGATTGATTTCACTTGTTTTTGAAAAACTAATCTGTATGATGGAAGTAGACGAGTGAAAGGAGCTGGCGCTTACAGTCGGAGAACTTCTCCATGCATCGCTCCAGGTAGGTGCGTGCGGACTGGGAGCGCGCTCCGATGGACATCGCTTTGCAGTCAAAGTAGTTGGCTGAGGGGCAGGTCTGGAAGATGTGAGGTCCCATGTCCTGGGCGACAAATTAAAAAATACAAATATATACAAACATTACTCTTTGACAAGAAAAATATATACTATCGACACGTCTAAGAAAAGTAGCAAAAACTCACATCAAACCCAGCAATGAGGAGTCCAACACCATAAGGCCTCCTTCCATACCTCTGTGTGGGGATTTGGGTTTCTGAAGAATCAGGTAAGGATCACTGCTGCCCTTCAGAATTATTTCATACAAGTAACCACTGAGGTTGATATATATATATATATATATATATAAAACATGTTTTTGTAATTACAGAGATTCAAGAGATTAGTACGGTCGCCCTGAAGTGCAAAACACAACCCAAATAGGAAAACACAGCGGCAAATAGGAAAATACAACGAAATTAACTCCTTACGGAAAGGGTAGGGCCTTATAGCAGAGGATGGACCCTTCTCATTGGACAAACGGACTGTCTGTCTGTCTTTTAACAGGAAATGATATTGCCACACATACAATTTCTCACGCCAAGGAATCGGACTCCGAACCCCTCCCCCCCCACCCCCCCCCGCTTTTATTTACCTTTAAGTACAAGACCTAAATATAATTGAAAAACAGCGCTAAAACAATGGTAAAACACTAGTAGGACACTTTTAAGACACTTGTAAAACATCGTCATCTCTCCGTGACTTTCTGCTGCGTCACTTCCCCCCCTCATCACAGGCTCTCAGTCCCGCCACTGATTTATTGATTGACATAATATCTAGGAAGCAGCGTTTCTCAGCTTTCAGAATCCGATTGTGCAAATAGTTAAGGAGTCACGGTCATTTGAATCCTCCATGTCACTTTCTGTCGCCGGCGAAAGGCTTCGAATTAAGAAGGTTAAAGGACCGACAGTCCGTCTGTTCAAAATGAGAAGGGTCCGTCCTCTGTTATCTGCTACAAGGCCCTAGCCTTTCCGTAAGAAGTTAAGTTTGTTGTGTTTTCCTATTTGCCGTTGTGCGTTCCTATTTGACGTTGTGTTTTGCACTTCAGGGCCACCGTAGATTAGTGAGGATACTGCTGCCAATAAGAGAGACGAGACGTGACGCAGGGAGGGGTCTATCGAAGACAAATCTTGAGTCCAAGCACTCCTGACGCATGAAGTTACTGTGGAAGATGACAGTAGAACTTAGGGTAAAAAACAAACAAACAAACTATTCAGATCAACAAGCAGCCGGGACTCACCAAAGCAGTCTGGCGTCAGCAGTGAGTCCGGCAATGGAGATGCCAATGTGGTTGTCAACATGGAGGATCTTCTTCTGGTGGGCAGCCAATTCAGACTGGGCTCTCTGTGGGGGACACGACGGCATGAACCAACAGTTCTTCTCCGCCTGTCGCTTACACTCTGCTTCACGCTTTCTCAGTTTTTAATACGTTATGATACATCTAACGGGTCCATTATAAATCAACCTGTGGCTTTTCAAGTTAAAAAAAGCAGGTAATGTTGCATTGGCAGGCATTAAAGGACAGTACCTTCAGAGCAACCAGGACTGCATGGGATTTGGACTTGAGTCCCACTGTTGCAGAGCCTTGCTTCACGGCCTCCATAGCATACTCGATCTGATGAATGCGGCCCTACACCGAGGTGAACAATTTGTGTTTACATTTCATGCCGTAGTGCGACAGTGATGCTCAGACGTTTACTTTTCTTAAAGACAGGTTGAAGCAAACGACTCACCTGCGGGCTCCATACCGTCACGTCGTTGTCGTACTGATTGCGAAACTAAAGATAGAAAACCACCCATTATTTGACAGTAACAAAGGAAAATAATCACAGAAAAACACAAGATCTGAGCTTACATAGTTGTCTTGCATCATCCCCGGCCCCCCCTGCTGCACTATTTGACATCCAAGTAACCACCACAGGAGCCTGTGTTTGTTGGACTCGAGTATTATATTTCTACCACAAATGAATCATGTATAAGTACAGCTTTGTGTGCAGCCACTAGCCGAATAGAGGCGTGCAGCATCATGCTGTTAATGGCCAACAACGGATGATTAAAACTTAAGGTTAGCTGACGTTTCATATGTCAGCATTTAACTAACTAACATGAAGTTATATTTAAAGGCTGGCATCTAGCGTTATGTCCCCGTTTGTTTAGACACATTGGATATGTTACAGATTTATACATGCTTTTAGCTTAATCTAGAACACATGTAACTATTTATTTAAGGCTTACTAATTTGGGCTGTTCTTAAACCAAGTAGATGAACACAATATGCGTTGCTAACGGCGGTGGTTAACGTTAACTAAGTTAACGTTATAGTCCTGCGGGAATGCTAGCTGACATTAGCTAGCTGGATTAAATGCAGACTCTACGAATGTTAGGTAAGGTTATAGTCACATAGTGAACAATAACTGGGGTTTAAGGTGTTGGACTCACGTAAAATGTTATTAGTTTGCAACTCAAAAAAGCGGTGACCGGAGGTAAAGTAAAAGACATGACACATGAGTTTGATGCTAGCTAACTCAGCCCGAGGTGGCTAACATCTGCTAGCTCCTGTGCTTTAGCGTGCTAACAATCTACCTGGCAAACTAATCAGCAACGCAGTTATGGTACTGCAGCGACAAACGTAAATGCATCGGGCTATGATCAGACGTTGTTTAATACGATATGATCCGAGTCATATTAGCCACGAACCGATTTTGGGGGAGAAACGTAATACAGCCGGTGTCGATGCGGCTAACTGTAGCCATTGACGGTGTTTTGCTTACTCACAGTGCAGTCAAAAGTTAGCTATTAGCTAATGTTAGCTTGTTGTGAGTAAATTAACCTCGTTTTCTAGGTTTTCTGATAAATACTAGAAGTCTACTTGTACTATTTCAGTTTTGTATGTCTTATGTGAAATGCATGAACTTAATTGAAATATAATTTAACACATACCATCTCTGCTTTAGAAAAGCGTACTGCCTGTACTGCGATCCGAACTGGATAAGGAGATGTCAGGAGAAATAGCAGAGCACCGATTGCAAATCAGTGATCGATTGAGTAGTTTTTCCCCGTCTGTAGAAAGAACAGCACAAAAACAACATCTGAGGACAATATTTGTGGGAATGCATTAGGCATTCCAAGTATTGTTCTTCGAAACAATAAAGGGACATATGTATCGACCGCGCATGCTAAATAACCCATTTCTAGTGGTCGAGTGAACGGTTTGGCCGGGGTGCGGAGGGGGGTGCGGGGCGGGGGGGCTGTTGTCAGTCCGGTGGTGCTCTCTCTCCGCTGGCTGTCGGTTATCAAAACATTGCCCGTATTCAAAAATGAAGAAACGCCGGACGGACAGAGGTCATCGCAGATCAAAAGGTGAAATAAAATGTATTTAATAAAGGAGAGACATGGCGTTGTGGTAAAAAGAACATCTCAGCTGAGGAGCCGCTGGTCTCAGCAACCAACAGGCCCCAGGTCAGTCCTTTGACCTCCCATAGTGCCCGTCTGTTGTCTCCACCAGCGAACTAGTGTTGACGAACTGACCGAAGAGCCGGTTAAATAACCCGATTCGTGTACCTGAAGCGGGAGAATCGGGTGCCAAACGTCAATGAACCGACTCACTCCGGTTTTCAACCACACATTTTGAGAGAGAGGGCTAGCGCAAATCGTGGCACCGGCAACTTGCTGAGGCACTTCCTGTTACAGGTTCCGGTGCCGCGGCGAATGGTGGCAGCTGCCTCGAGTTTACGGCAACTGCCTCGCCTGTTGCCTCGGCTGAGTGAGGTACCTCTAGCGGTACCTCGAGTTAAAGGAGTCTTGCCACGACCAAAGGGAGCGGTGCATCGGCTGATAGACGTACCGGGAATTCAGAGGCGTCAAGTAACGAAGTACAAATACTTCGTTACGACAAGCCGGAAGTACAAATACTTCGTTACTGTACTTAAGTAGACATTTTGGGTATCTATACTTTATTAGAGTATTTATTTTTCAGACGACTTTTTACTTCTACTCCTTACATTTTCACACAAATATTTGTACTTTCTACTCCTTACATTTTAAAAATAGCCTCGTTACTTCCGGCTTGTCGTAGTTCATAAACACACACACACAAAAACCCATCCAGATAAATGGAGCTATCCCGACAGAGTGAATGTGGTTGTGTTTGGATGAGAATATAAACATTTAGCATCCAGACACCCGATTGGTTTTCTCCGCGATGCGCCGGCAGATCGGAGCGACACCGGGTGGGAAAAGTGGTCGGTGGAAAGTTGGTATTTAGCGACATGGAGCCTCCTCCTCTTCCTCCTCCTCCTCTTCTTCCTCACGCAGATTCCATGTAACGTTAAATGAGTATCTTCATGACCGTGGGTTTGTCCTAAATGTTTTATTGAGAGTCTGGCACAACACAGCGACTTGCAAGTAGTGCAGCGTATTACATAAACTGATGTGCGTCTTAATGCGGCTTTAGAAATGAACACACGGGGATTCGCTCATGAAGCCTGAACATACTGGTTATTTGACCGATGTTTTGATAACCGACCGCTGCCAGTTCAGTGTTTCCCATCATTATAAACAGGGGTGCGACCCCCCATGACGTAGTGAACCTGGGGGAGACACTGCAGTCTACCTCATCAATGCGAACAACGCGTGTGTGACTCGTGTCACTGGAAAATGAGTTGTGGTTTTATCTGTTTAAGTCAGATACATTTGTTGTTGTTGTTGTTGTTTCCATCATCCCAACGGCAGGTCACGTGATCCGCAGGCACCTTCTGATCACATTGTAACGGACTGACGTGTTGTGTGAGCGAGGTTACACATTAAGAGTTTGTCCTTAATGGAATTTCTTACATTACTTTTACTTTTATACTTTAAGTAGTTTTGAAACCACTCATTTTATACTTTTACTTAAGTAAAAAGCTTGAGTCGATACTTCAAATTCTATAGGAGTCTTTTTAAACCCTAGTATCTGTACTTATACTTTAGTAATGAATGTGAATACTTTTGACACCTCTGCCTATGAAGGAGTAGAACCACTGGCTGAAGCAGACCAGCGAGGCAAGAGTGATGAGATCCCCAAAGCTTGCAGCCATAGGTGTGGCCACGTTGTCGGGGTTGATTCCCATTCGCTTTGAGCCAATGATCACTGCTACCATAATAATACCTAGAAAGGTTTAAAGACAAGAGAATGTTCTTAAGAGGTGTCCAGAGATCAATCTCAAAGGCAATTCAATGGAAAGAGCTAAAGTTTAACTTCAACGTGAATGGAAGAGTGGCTGTCTTGAGGTTGGTATAATTATTTTTCAGGGAAAATAAAGGTTTGGGCCAAAAAAAGGAACGGAAAGTGGAGGCTTGAAGACGAAGGCTCGTGTATGCAGCCATTACTAGCACCTCGCTACACTTTTGACTCTATTGCACCGAGGTTGTGAACAATGAACAATGTCTGCTAATAGATCCCATATAAAAGCTACACCTTTGTCGTTTAGGCTAAATTTATTCCTGAGGTCAAGGGTGAAGCAGAGCAGGATTGACAGGTGTGGTTGTAATGCAGCGGTTCGAGGTTATGGCAGGTTGTGTTGTTACCTTGCAGCAGTGAAGCCATGAAGGCAGTCGAAACACTGGTTGAACATAGGAGCATCACGTGGTTTAAGGGAACATTTCCTTCTGCCATCCAGCCCAGCAAAGCCGCCATCAAAGAGGCCAACAGGCCGAGCACGGTGGCCTGGAGCTACGGTGGTAGAGAGAAATATTCAAAAACAAAGTCCAAATATATAACAGAATTATACAGGAGAACTATTAATGATACAGAAATGTTCCCTTACAGCACATGTGTCAAACTCAAGGCCCGCGGGCCAGATGTGGCCCGCCATGTCATTTTATGTGGCCCGCGAGAGCTTAAAAGTTTTGAGTGTCTAAAAATAAATACCAAAAAAGAAATGAAGAGCGTGCTTTGACCAAAAACTACATTTCCCACATTGCCTTTCGACGCGCGCTAGCCGCGGCAGTGTCCATGCCAACAAGTGGAATTGAGATATAAATAATGATCCCAAAATGTCCAGAAAGAGAAAAGTTGATGCAGACAGAAGACTGTTTCAAGAAAGATGGGAAGGCGAATACTTGTTTGTGCTTCAAGGCGAAAGACCAGTATGTCTTTTGTGTTACGAGGCAGTGTCGGTTGTCAAAGACTACAATCTGCGTCGACATTTTGACACCTAACACGGAGCCAAGTACACTAAAGCTAGTCTTCAAGAAAAGCAACAAATTGCCCAAGAATTAAAAGGCAAACTGCAGTCGCAGCAGAGTTTATTCGTGAAATCCACAGCCAAAAACGAGGCTGCGGTGAAAGCTAGCTTCATTGTGGCTGAAGAAATCGCCCACGCTTCCAAGTCTTTTTCAGAGGGAGCGTTTTTGAAGCAGTGCATGCTGAAGGTCTGTGAGCAGGTATGTCCTGACCAGTTACAGACTTTTAAAAATATTATAACACACCCAGATAACACGGACACAGCGCACCTATCAATTTTTATTAGAGGCGTAAAGTCGGACCTCTCTATCACTGAGGAGCTGTTGGATGTGGCTGCAATGCATGGGACCATGACGGGACAGGACATTTTTGATGCGGTGGAGAAGTCCGTAAGTAAAAATGCATTGCAGTGGGAAAACTTGGTAGGATTAACTACAGACGGTGCACCGGCAATGTGTGGAGGAAAAGTGGGCTTGGTTGGACTAATGAAGGGGAAAATGCAAAAAATTAACTGTCATTTACGTTAGAATAAACAATGAGTTATTTAACACTAAGGAGTAGTTACATTTATTTTACATTACATTCGATCACATTTAGTTACATTTATAAGTTACATCTGGCCCTTTGAGGACAGCCATTATGCTGATGTGGCCCTCGGTGAAAATGAGTTTGACACCCCTGCTCTAGGGCCTTTGACAACTGATGGTAGTGAAAATGTTTGTAATATGGTTGTATCGGATAGCAGAATGGTCTCTTTTATAGAGATGGTAAAGTAAATTCTACTGTGCAGTTTGTACTTATGTATGGTTATTTGCACTTTAAAATGTGCACTTTATTATTATTATTTGTACTTATGTATATTATTTACTGAAGAAATGTGCACATTATTACTTGCACGGTTATATACTTGAATAATTTCTGCGTTTACAATATTCAGTTCCAAATCTGTGTTTTTAGTAATTGTGGTGGTATTTGGTATTTATAATTTTATCTTTTATATAATGTATTTTTTTTCATGTTTGTTTATGTAAATTATTTATGTTTATAAGTTATTTGGGGAATAAAGAGAACCTAACTAAGAAATTCTGAATGGTTGTTACTCCTTTGGTGGTGGTGGTTGGTTCGTTGGTTGGGGGGGGGCACCACCAAGCATTTGTGCTTAGGGCAACCAAATGGCTAGCGCCGGCCCTGTGCATATTGAAATATAGCGTGTTATAAAACAGATTGCAGGATACAAACCCTGTGTCCTGTAATCTAACAGCATTATAGTGTAACATTAGTTGTTTTTATAAGGACATTTTCCAAATCATCAGTTCAGGGAGTCAGCAAGCCAACCATTTATCAATCGTCCGTCTCTCTAAAAGAAAACTTCCCATGAGCGCTAGCGACCACTCACAAAATCATGAGACCTGTCATGGGACCCGTGTAACCCCGCTCTTCAACAGCAGTGTTTTGGGGTCTAATCTGCTGGCACCATGGCGGCAGAAACCATCGCACCTGACTGGGAGTTTGACCGTTTTGACGATGGTTCTCAAAGTGAGTACAGTCCCGTCCCGCCGTGTCGCGTAGCGACGCGCTTAACGACATTAGCATCCGGTGCTAAGCTGCTAGCTGGGCTGACCTGTCACCGGGCGCCGTCTATTTGCTGGCAGGCAAACACGTCTGACTGTTTAATGCTAAGCTAAAGCTCGTCGAGTAAGAACGTTAAATGTAACGTTATATCTGCGCGGCAAGTTGTCATGTAAAAGGATGCGCAAGTAAAGCGAAGCGACGCCAAACGTCTGCTAACGTTAATCACCGCCATCGATCACATCGATACAGCTGATCGGTTTGACATTCGGCCACACTCGGCTAATTTTGACAGGAGCTCACAGTGGGGGAAGCAGTGTCCGGTCTCCAGCAGAGACGAAACGGGGGGGGGGGGGGGGGGGGGGGTATTGATTTTGTGTCTATTTTTCATAATCGATAAAGAGAGTCTTTCCTTTTTGTGAAATGTTAGCAACAACACATAAAAGGCTGTGCACTGCTGAAGTGTCTTCGATCAATCCCTCCATTGTGCAGAAATACACACAGAGGTTCAGCTGAAGAACTACAGCAAGTTTCTGGAGGAGTACACCTCCCAGCTGAGGGGTATCGAGGAGGCCCTGGACGACTCCATCGGGGACGTGTGGGACTTCACGCTGGACCCCATCGCCTTGAAGGTGAAACACCGCGACACCAACATGGAAATACCGGCGTTGTTTTGACACGACAACAACACCTGTGCAACTTCCTTCCTCCCTCTTCTCTCTCTCAGCTTCTCCCATACGAGCAGTCATCCTTGATGGAGTTGATTAAAACGGACAACAAGGTCGGCCAGTTAAAGACAAACCCAGATTGTAATTTGCAGT